CACTGTCTACAGACTCTACACTAGCACTAGATAGATCCAGCAAGCAAGATCACAATCGAAACACAACGAAATCAGTATAGTAAACAACCTTGCGCGTTATCTCATGTATGTGAAAATGCAATTAAGCCACGCACTTAACCTGAGCTCAACATTGTCTATGCTGTTCTTCCTCATCAGCAATATCATCATGCTGTTCTTCCTCATCAGAGATATCAGCATGTTGCTCTTCCTCATCATCGGTATCAGCATGTTGTTCTTCCTCATCATCGGTATCAGCATGTTGTTCTTCCTCATCAGTGATATAAGCATGCTCTTCCTCCTCAGCGATATCATCATCATCATCATCATCATCGATATACAAACCAGTAAAGCTGACATTAACATTTCCAAGGCTAGGGCAGTGCCATTTAACCCAAGGTGGAGGCGGAAAGAACAACCCTCGATACATCTTATGGTCCTTGTTTGGATAGTCCATGAGACGCCTGACCTGCTTTTGTATGTTGAACACATGAAAATATTCATCATATGTTGGAAAAATGAGACTGTTGAGGTACTCTAGTCCCTTTGGCATAGGATTGCTATTTCCTTTACCATATCCCTCCACCTCTTCCCATGGCTGGATCTCAGGAAACCACCAACAAATCGTACTCGGCTTCCATTGTGGTAGATAATCTTTCAAAGATGGGATACCAAATGACCTCTCTTGATCAAGTCCAAATCCAAGGAAAAAAGCTCGATCACCCAAGTTTTTCAAACGCACCCACTCACATTCTGCTAGTCCAACTATGTCTACCATTATCCTTTCGCATTCCGTCGATGGTAAGATACAACTCCTCATTCGACGAAACCATCTTCAATTGCCGGAACTCATATGAAATCCCTTTGACTTCAATTTCTTCGTCCATTTGATTTTGTACCAAAAAATCAGGCCTATCTATGAACTGCATCGAAATCAATTTTTCTTGAGGATCGATTACTCCGATTTTCCATTTAGGACAATTACGCCCAATTAGTTTGAACAAGATTACATAGAACTTTCCATTATGAAAAGCCATATCAAGTAAAGTTCCCCAATGGCAAATCTCGATATCAATCCATTGTTTATCACCCAATCTCCATAACATCAACCCACAATGACCCATCACTAACACAGCATACTTATAACTCGAATTCAATGCCCACCCACCTGCAACTTGGAAGGATACACATTCAGGTCCGGTTTTAAGGTCCGATAATTGAACCAAGTACATGGGTCTATCAAGTTCAAGAAGCCAACAATCCAACAGATTGAGACCCAGTTTCCCAACAATGGGTGGATCCGAGTGAAAGTAGTCTAGCTTCAAGAGTTCATCAACCGGGTTAAGGAGGTGCCATTTGGAGGGTTCGAGTTCAATCATCTTGGCAATCCAAGCACCACCATCGACGCCGGAAGATGGGAGAGGAGAGAGAAAGTAGAACCGGGTTTCGAGGAGGAAAAGAGGGCGGTCTCCGTAAAGAGGGTGTGTTGGAGTCCTGAAACAGGGTCTTAGTTGGGAAGGAAATTCAGGGTTTGGAGAAAGAGTGGTTCGCCAAGAAGAGCAAACGGCGCGAAGACGGTGAAGGTCTGCTTTCAAACCATGGTGTTCGACGATGTGTAAGAGTATGTCTCTTGGAAGATTGCTCCATTTATCGACGCTTTTTTGCTTGCCGGAGTAAGGCCTTTGTGTTTCCATTCTTGATATTTGGAACAGAACAAGAAGTAGAAGAAAGAAATAGAACAGATGAGTAGAATAGAATGAGGCAGTGGACATTTTGTATTAATATATATAGAGAGAGAGAATAGAGATGTTGGGAAAAAAAGAATTAGATATATTTTGTAAAAAGAACTATCTTTATTTACGAATGTCCCAAGGATGTTGATTTCCACAAGTCTTTTTTTCTTTATGTTTAGTGCTTTTATTAGTTTGTATCCTTTAAACTTTGTAATTGCGCTTTATTTATGAAGTTCTCTAACTCTGTAGAGTATGTATATTGGAAGGAATAGAATATACAAGGGTATACACAAAAATTGACGAGGTTTTCACCTTATGTGGATCTTCATATCTAACCTTCGTTGAACTTATAAGTGGTTATACGTCTTGTAATATTTGATAAAGCGAATCTAATAAATTATAAATTAAATAGGTTGAGGGATTTATCAACTCTAATAAATTTATAATTATCCATTAATAATGTTGTCTAACCTTGTCCCATACCACATTAATTAATTTATTTATTTATTTTAAGAATTGGTTCATTTGAAAACATGTGTTTTTTACTTTTTTTCTTTTTTCTTCCTATATATATTGATACTTCTTCCTAACTTTGATGGTCAAATAATTTTTTTTTTGGATGGGATAGATGCATCAATAAGTTAATTTGTTAGTCTTAGTCTTTAATTGATAGTCTTTAAGAGCAATTTGGGTATGGTTAATAATTCTTATTTGTGGAGCATCAATTATCCTCCTCATCTAAGACATGAAGATATCTCTTGTAAGTAGACAATGTGAAAATTGAATATATCGCATTTATGAATTAGCAAGCCAAAGGCCCAATAGTATATTACTGATCAAATATATCAATTATCATAAGAGATATGTACAAAAAAATTTAAGAAAATTTGCACACTAGTGCATCCATCTATCCATCTTCATACCCATCATTTTTCTCTTCTTATGGGCTTGATGTTTGGCAGAAACCCTCATTTTTCTCTTGGCATTTTTGATAGGATTAATAACAGCCATGAGCTTCTCGTCTTGCTTCCTCTTGAACCTTTTCTCTCCAAGATCATGCCTCATCTGGTTGTAAACTTGTACAGAGTTCTAAGTACCAAGTTTTGCCTGTATCTTTTCATGAACTTTTTCTGCACGTTTCTTTACATCATCTGTATGGATGAAAAAAGGCATTTGAAGTTTTCAACTAAGAAAGGCAAAGCATAGAGAATATAATCTACCTTGGCTGCACTACAAATAAGCAAAAAAAAAAAAAAAAAAAAAAAAAAGAAGATTTCCCAGAAAGGAATAGCCAAAATGCACTTCAATGTCTTCAAAGGTAGCTTTATAGTATTAAAAAAAACGCAAAAATCGATGAAATTTAAAGATTATAATTAACGGTTTTTGCCCAATTTAGGTAAAAAAAATACAAAATAAACTGAATGTGTGAGGTATCCCACAAGATTATATAACTTGGTTTGGAACAAAAAAAATCCTATTCATTGGTATATTAAGGCTCGAAAATGAGTATTTTTCAATTATGTGGCGAAGACCAAAAAAGTCAAATTGACCGTTTAAAGGCAAATGGATGGTTCTAGCAACTCAAATGGCCTCTCGGTGTGTTATGGGGATGATTCTAGCCACCCAATGGCCTCTCGGGGTGTTTTTGGGTCCATGGGAGCAACTTCACATGTTTCATTTATGGGTCAAAAAAGTCCTAATTTGCCAAATTTGAAGGCTACTCTCGTTTTTTTTGCCAATTTCTGTATAATTATTTAAAATTGATCTAATTGCGTGCGTATTGGTGTCCAGTGTGGTCATATAAGTTGGTTCGAAATAAAACAAGTCTCACATATAAGGCCCGAGAATGAGTAATTTTCAATTATGTGACATGTACCTTAACAACTAAATTTACCGTTTAAAAGGCATAGTGGATTAGAAGATTCTTTTTTCGTTAGTATGAATTTATATTGGATTAGAAGAGAGATTTAGTGATTCAATTGCTTTAAATATGGAAAGCTTAAAGACCAAATATTAATTTTGTTTTCTTCCATTGTTTCATGAGATTAGTAACATTTTGTAGATTATTTTTCTTTTATTTTTGCAATTTTGTGAAAGTAAAACTAATCGAATTCTCATACTAGCGAAAAAAGATTAACTATTTAAAGTTATTATTGTTTTGATTTAATATAATTACAATGATTACATTTATTTTTGCACAATTGTTCCTACAATTTTTTTTTCCACTTTTGATGCAAATTACTTGAGCAACTCCAATAGTAAGCTAAATATCAAATCAACTTGTCATGCCACATAAGCTTTTAAGCTAATAATCATTCTAGCTAATTTGAATCCCAATGGCTAGCTAATAGCTTACTGTTTAAATTATTAATTAATTATTTTCATCTTAATTACTAGTTTTCCTTTTGGCAAGTTTTTTCTAAGCCAATTAGCTAATTTACTTGGCCAAACTAATTGCATATTTTACCTCTAATGGTCAAGCTAGTAGTATCGGTGATCAACATCGGTCCGCCCCACTAGCCCGACCTAAAAATAGGGCGGGTTTAAACAAGCCTTAACAGTATACGTTGTGTCCCAATCGGCCCGATTTTCAAATCACTTGTAGCTAGAAGGTATGAATAATCTATTTAAAATTGCATCCCCTATTATCTCGAGATTATATGACCCTGGGATGCATCCCCTATTATCTCGAGATTATATGACCCTGGGATGCATCCCCTATTATCTCGAGATTTTTCGACAACGGGTCCCGAAACCTCCAAAATTGTTCCAAAAAAGTGAATGATAGCCTTCAATTTTGGACAATTATGGACTTTTTTGGATCTGGAAAAAAATTGCAAAGACGGTTCCCATAATTCGGGACATTATCGAATATTAGATACATAATTGCAAACCTGGTATACATTATCGAATATCATGTAATTTGTGTTTTTAATGGACTTAACCAACTTATCAAAATTCAATGTATTTTTCTTTTTTTACACTCAAAAGGTCGAGTTTGAGTTCAAAAAGTAGATCATAATTCGTCTTTGAAAACTTATTTTTTCGGGTTTTGCCTAAAGTTTATTTTATCTACAAAAAAGTCAAATGAGTTAAATTAAACTTATCCATTGAAACGACTCGGTAAGAACCTGATTAGACTGATGGGAGTTGAGTTAGCAAGCTTGAAGTAGAGCTAACTAGCCTCCAATAACTGAGAAATTTTAGAGAGTTAGACAAATAAAAACAAAGAGAACGCAACTCCATGGACAACAAGATGCAGATAGACTTTTCTTATAGATGTACGATAAGCATGCTTGTATTAGTCGCATATCTCAGCAATAGTGTTCAATAAATAGGCAGAAAAAAGAAACTAAATAAATATTATCCTGGAAGAGTGTATCTAACAAAATCATTGTAAACCCTACTTTAATACTTCATGTTTGTCTATGCAAGTAAAAAGCATCATCTCCTCGACTTCTTGAATGTTTTACCACCGCCTTTGTTGCCTTTGCTCGTGTATTTTTCAAATTCCTCTCCATCATCATCTCCCCTGCCTTTTCTTTTATTCTTCCCGCCAGATTCCTTTATTTTCTGTGGATGCAAAAGCACAATATTAAAAACACCAACCTGAACTTAATGTAGACTTGTTAAAAGTAATTGTAAAAAATCCTGAATTTAATGTAGACCACGCTAGACAAGAAGCCACAAGATATGTAGTACGTATTAAAGATCCATTCAGAGCATAAAACCAATTTAAGCATCAAGATGGAGCATAGCAATGCTACAGAAGGATCTTTTGCTTATGCCAATAGCAAGGTTCACAGAAGGTCAAACACCACATCTAACAAAATAAAGTCAACGAGTATACAAGGCAGCAGGCAATGTACAGGGACCATGAATGTAAATTCAACCTAGTCACAAACTCATTAAAGTCAATGTAATCAGAAGATCAAAAATGTATTATGTTAGATTTATTCTAGCTTGACACAAACAAGAAGGCAAACAGAGAATAATCTAAATCACAAAGGAAACTGTAAACCTAACTCATAAGAACACAATAGATTTTAAGCTAATATACCATATATGATATCCTTTTTGCCTCATTAACACGTTCAGACAGGACCAGTGCTTCGGCTTCCTCAGCTGGATGTTTCGGTAACTTTTTGCCTGTATCTCAGATAATAAATGAAGGGCTCAAAGAAAACAAATCAATTCTATCATGAACACGAAATGCTGCTCACCTATCAACTTCTCTATCCGGATATAATCCTCAACCTCATACTGATTTACTAATGAGATGGCTACCCCTGACCTTCCAGCACGAGCTGTTCTCCCTACCCGATGTATGTAATTCTGAAACCATAATGACATGTCAAATGAATACAATGGAAGCATACTAACTTAACCACGGTCACAAGACTCACAACACATGCCTTAAGCACAAGAACAACTTGTCCTCTCTGTATTACTTCAAATTGAACTTTGCTCACTGTCAGTAAGCACTTTCACAGTTTCACTTAGGGAACAAATGAAATGTTTTCATCCAGTATACATTGGAAGCAATAAGCAAACCAAGTTCTCAGATGACTAGCTAATCTGCAGGAGCAGCAAAAACTGACCTTAGGGTCACTGGGAATTTCATAATTTATCACCATATCCACCGAAGGAATATCGAGCCCTCTACTAGCTACATCAGTGCAAATGAGGATATTGCAATCGCCAGATTTGAACTTGTTCAGCGCCCCGAGTCGTTTTGCCTACCAAACAAGGCAAGGTTATTTCAGAATCAAGCACATACACAATAAGATTCAACTAGAAGGTCAACAATCTACATATTAGGCTTCATATATAAAATGTGTAAAAAAAATGTCAGAAAAAATGTATGGTGATATATGAAAGCAAACCTGAGACATGTGCCCATTGATGGGAACAGCCCTAAAACCAAGGTTACGAAGCATGAGTGCTAGCAGATTAGTTGCATCACATGTACGAGTGAAAACCATAGTGCTTCCAGGTGTATCCGTCAATATATATACAAAATAGTAATCCTGAGAAATATGAAAGTACAGCAAAGAATAAAACTTCATAGAAATCTCAAATAATATGATATATCACTAAAAAAGACTACAAAGTCCGAGAGCATATATGTTAGTACGGTGGTTGATGTTGCAATATCCTACAAGCATGTGTTTATCATGATAGATACTATGGGTTTTGGTTTGGATCATAACGGGAAGTCTCATCTTGTTTCCACACTTTCAAAGTGCCTTGTAGAAGGGAATGGAAAGACTTGTTACTTGTGTTTATCCTTTAATACTTTGCTTGGCCTAATGGTTCTGGTTTGTGTTAGCTAGTTATTTGGGCTGATCGGGTTCATTAACTAAGCTAATTAGGCAGCTTAGCTTGGGCTCTAAGTTTAGTTAGGCTCCAAAACTTCGTTGTTTCCTATTCCTAGTTGGGGTAAGGAGGATATATTATTCGGTTATAACTTATTAGTAAAGATAACAACACTAATTAGAAGATGGACAATAAGAATTGAGTTTGGGTGCATAGCTTTTTGCTATAATATTGAGAATTGAACTCAGAAGTAAATTCAGAGTTAAATGCTGTCTCACAAGAGATTCAGAGGGGTTAAAATATTATTATCCTGAAAATTATCCAAGGAGCATCAAGTTTCATATCAGTATACACACTGAAATCTTATTAATGCTCTGCGGCTTAGCGCTCCAATAAATGAGTAAAACATAATTATAAGGAAAAGTGAAAGAATCAAAGAAGACATACAAATGGGATCTCAAGTCCACAAAGCAGCAAAATGATTTTATATCGTATCTATCTATAGCTTCAGTTTAAAATCAATTGTGAATAGAACATCACAACATACAAGAGAACACAGATAACTAGCCAGAAGTACACAAAATAGAATGCATCAACATGATACACCTGAAATTTAGAATACTTGTAAGCAAAGCACAACCGTCACCAACAAATTAAGCATAGGAAATCTAAAGCTGAAACATCTATCTAAGAAAAAAATAATTCCTGAGCAAATCACTGAATTGGAATAAAAAATTTGGGAACTTTTCACACTGGTATTGCAAAAGCCACTTCAGTTTTTTTGTATTATTACAGTCAAGTGAATAAATTTTTTTTCCCATTGACTTGAGAAAGCATTTGTGCCTCCCAAGACTTTTATAGTCCTACTTTCATTTTATAACCATTGTTAGGCTTGGGTATGAGTATTGGTAAAGGCTTTTGATAAACTTAAAAAATGGAACATGAAGGCAGGCCTAATGGATAAGCATTCTCAAATCTCAAACCAAAGAGGACAAGGCTAAAGGAACGGCATGAAAAAAAAAAAAAAAAAAAAAAAAAAACATGCTAGATTGAGATGAAGGACTCAAAAGAGTTTGGGTGTGACCAGGCACCAGGGAACAACAAAACGTCAAAATGAAGGGTGGTGATTTTCAACAATAGAAATAGGCAACTAAATATAGGAGTTGCCTTCCCTACGACGAAGGGCTAACTGGGGCATGATTTTTTTATTTTTTCCCGGAACAAAGGATAAAACCTTGGTATTTATTTAGAGACTAAATGTGAGAATAAGAAAGAAGATGAAGTTTGATTGATAAAATCTGGAAAACAACAATATTAAAGGATGTTCAAGCATTTAAGATGCTTGATTCTCTCCCAAATTCCCAATTAACAATCTAAAAGCTAACTTCATCAATATCAACATGCCCTCCCTCTCTCTAATCTGCTATATTTAGAGAGCTTTTCCTCTAGCTACCCAGCTAGCATATTATTCAAGTCACTAATAACCGAATCATAATGCAACTGCCTGAAGTGCCCCTTCCCCTTCTACTGATGCTTAGTATTGTACTGGAGTTCTTAGGCCTAAGTTGAATCAGCATACGTCTAGGGTTTCTCACGTTTGAACTTGTAGATTGTTGTAGAGGAAAAACCCTCTTTGTTTATAGTTTGCGCCTATAATTATGCAATAGTACAGTATCTCCGAAAAATAATTATAAACAATTTAAAGATGAAGCAAAAATCATGATTACATAAATCGCGATATCCACAATTCTTCACGCTGGCTATAAAACTAATTCAAGTCTTCCATTTTTTTCTCAGGCAATTCTTCCTCAATTTTATTCTTTCACCTAATAATATAGATCAACATATCACACTAAGACACCGTGAAAATCAAATTTTCCAATCATAGATGGTAAAAGTCACAGCAACAAGCCAACAAGGTATTTCACTAATATCAGTGTCAGAAACTACATTCATAACACAGGGTCCGAACACAGCAATAAGAGGAACCATGTAGAGGAACAAACCTTGTATTTATCAGCAATAAAAAGATATAGCTGCTTCAAAGTGTCAACTGTAGAATATTTTGAGTCTGACTCGATCTGGAAGAGATAAATATATCAATAGGGAAAATAGAAGAAACATATAAGTTAAAAGAGAGGAAATATGACACAGCACATCGAAACCTTACCTTCACTGGGTTCCTTAAACAAGCCCTTTGGAGCTTCTTGACCTGCAAAGAAAATAAATTAAATATACCCCTCTTCTTATCGGAAAATATCAGCTTCAATAGCTAATACAATTTTTTTAAAAGATACTAGCTACAAATACCCAAAGAGAAGGAGAAAACAAAACAGGTCAAAGCCATGTCAACTATCTGGAAAAACTTGTGATGAACAAAAGTAGATTAATGTCATAAATGAAAGCTTCACACAGAATGGGAAAAGATCAGAAACAATCATATTACATGCTAACCTTTTTGGTCATAGTGGCAGAAAACAAGTAAGTCCTTCTCTCAACAGGAATAACTTTTAAAATGTCATCAAGTGCTTTTTCAAAGTCCTGATTCAACAATCTATCAGCCTCATCCAATACCTGCACATTAATTAAAGTAATTATTAGTAGCTCATAAGATCAAAGCGGGTTGGTTGAAATGTAAGAGTGCGACAGGTTTTTTATGTGATCCTGGCATACCCCATAGATTAAAGGGAAAATTCTACCGAACGGCAATAAGGCCTGCTTTGGGTCGTAAAGGATTGCCATGTGCATAAGATGAATGTAGCGGAGATGCATGCTATGAATGTGTGGCCATACAAGAAAGAATCGGTTGAGAAATGAGATAATTAGGAAGAAAGTAGGGGTCACATAGATTGAGTACAAGATGAAGGAGAATCACTTAAGATGGTTTGGCCATGCAAGGAGGAAACCAAGTGACACTTCGTAAAGAGGCATGAAAATTTGCAAAGTGTTGGGAGAGCGAGAGGTAGAGGAAGACCTAAGAAAACTTAGAGAAGGGTGATTGAGAGTGACATGAGTGTTTTGGGGATTGAGGGAAATATAGTGTTAGATAGGGCGGTGTGGAAGGAGAAAATTCACGTCAACGACGTGTCGTGCTTATATATATACTTTCTAAATTTATTTTTGTATTTAATTTTATTATTTTATCCCACTAATGCTTTATGAACTTTATTGTTTTCCTTTTGAAAATTTCTCTCAAACCTTTCCATTTTTTACTCCAGCGTTTTAACTTTTAACCACTACTTTAAAACTTTCTTCAAGTTTATTCTTCTCAATACTTTGGTTTTCTTTTAAAACTCCCTTTATTTTTATGGATGCTCTTTCTTTTGCTCACTTTACTCACCTTTTTCAAACCCTTTTAAATGATTATCTTGTTATGTCCCTTTCTTTATATCGTATGATTTCTTATGACGATTCATGTTGGCCGACCCCAAATCATTTTGGGACTAAGGCTTTGTTGTTGTATTAGTAGAAAAATCAACTAGCAAAGAAACCTACAAGTATAAAAAGACATGTACATAAATGGAACTAGCACCTAGAAAATAAGTACATACTTATGAGCTACAAAATTAAAAAAGAAACAATTATCCTTTGCCACGGATCAACAAGATTCTCAAGCAAACTGATGCCGTTTCTAGAATAAGGTAAAGGTGTAAATTGCGATTTACATATTATACCCGCCTACAAATTCAACAACTCTTGGTTCCCATTTTATATTTCTTAGAATCAATGGGAAGAATCTTTCATCTCCAACCAATAGGAAAAAAAAAATAATAAATATAAAATTAAAAAAACAAAAATGCATTTGACCACAGCACCAAATTCTTTACAAAATGACTACAAACTATTTTCACTTTCTTGTATTGATCATTTATATACTCAGACATGAACTTTTTTCTTGTTGCAATAGACTTGATATCTCCACAATCTAACATTCCAGAAAGCTTAAACATAATTTCAAATGTCAAGGATTCAAAGTTCTAAACTTTTAACTTTTTTTTTCTAACGTTGACAACTATACATTTAGAAGCTAATAGATGGGCAACACCATGTCATCACCAATCCTGCCTTTAAAAATACTCTGTCAAGAGTACATCTGAAGAGTCTTTGTTAAACAAATAATATTACACCATTTGGAGGGGGATGGGGGGTCAAAGTTTTTTTTTTTTTTTTTTTTTCCTTCTTTTGAATCAATAAAACCAGAAGAACAAAAAAAAATATTCCAAATGTCCTCTAAAATTAGTTCCAATGTAAGTTCAGGAAAGTATCTTATGGGAGTAAAGGAGTTCTGAGCTTCAAACTAGATAATTAGAATAGATATCACCAAATACTTCTCAAAGTAAAAATTAAAGCCAAATACAACAGTAGGAATGTTGTAGCCAGAAGTAGTATTCAAGTAGCTTTAAGAGCTCAAGCTCAAAGTGAGTAATTAATGGAAATAAGCTTGAATTTGTCTCCAAGAGTCCAAGTCTAGTCAAGTTAAGCCAGCTTGAGATCGACATGGCTTTTTTTATCAACTATACTTAACATAAAATTTGGCAGTGGAAAAAAAAGGATTTAGCATAGAAGGTTGCTTTCGATCCACACAATGTGGTATATCCCGTGAAACATCTTGAAGACTCAATACTTAAATCCAAGGAAAAACTCTTTGTTTCTTTACAAACACCCAACTTACTTTTTGCATCAATCCATAGAGTATCCTTAACAAACTTTTTGGTCAACACCCCACGCATTTCTTCTTAGTAAAATATGTAAAGCATGATTTCTATTGTCTTGGTTTTAGAATGTATTTTTGACTAAAAATCAATAGAATATCAAATTAATATTTTAGAGAAGGGCAAAGGTGGAAACAAAACAAGGAAAGATCCAGCAGAACCAGGTTGCCTTGTCCAGCTTTGTTTAAGGGAGACTAGGGGCAATTGTTTTGGGGGTTTCAAAAATGAGAAAGGGAAACATCCTTACTTAGACTCTTCATATTACACCCATGTTAGCTACTCGACACTCAAACACGGCTAGGACGCATCAACCCTTCATTATTGAACTTTTCATGAAAAACACTCACATAATAGCCTAGTAGCCTAGTCAGACACTTAGACACGTACTTCTTCCTTTCTTCTTCCATAGTTCCATCCTTTTCTTGTTTCCTTTCCCTTTTCTTTGTACAAAACAAACACCCCATAGGAGTAATTTTAAAAAAAAAAAAAATCTATTTTCATTTGGTTTTGCTCCACTCTTTTTCTTGCATTAGGTGTTTGGGGGTGGGTTATGAACGCTTGATTTGTTCATGTTAAGCTTTTGTATTATTTTATTGATGCTTTTTAATATGACAAGCGCCTGATTTGAATCGCCATTAATTAATCCTTATTAAAGTTGAAATTATCTTAAGTTATCTTATAGCTTGAGAACATCATAATTGTATGCCCCGCTATCTCCACGCTAATTTAGGTTGATGCCCTGCTGACTTACCCATGCAACTTCTTATCCCCCCTTACCCTGGGCCCCCAAAAAAAAATGTATACCATTTTTAAAAGTTAAAACATGGGTCTAAAGTACCATTTAGGCGCCTTGGAACTGTACATTTAAACCCGTCCAAGCACGGTTACATTAAGCAAAAACTGAATCAAATAAGGAAACTTTAAGTATACTCTAGAAGTCTAAAGCACCAATTAGTCACCTAACAACAGATAGTACTTAAGCCTTTAAGCAACCTGAATGCAAAAACAATAACACAGAGCTGCAACTTATCCCCTAGTAAGCTATCCACAAGACAGATTGTTTAGAAGTATTTTGCACATCCTCTATCTCAAATCAATCAATCAATCAATCAAAGCCTTAATCCCATGAGTTGGGTAGGCTACATGAACCAAATTTGATTATTCCGTGTGGTCATCCACAAAATCTTCCTCCTCCCACCCTTACGATCCAAAACCTCATCCTTAAGCAACCATATACTTCATATCCTTCTTAACTCCTTCTAACCAAGTCATTTTTGTCCCCCTCTCCCTCGTTTAACCCCTCCATGGTCCCACTATTCCACTCTTTGCACTGGTGCACCCTCGGGTCTCCGTCTTACATGCCCAAACCAACCAAACGATTTTCCCTTAGTTTGTCTACAATGCCTGTCACACCTACTTTCTTGCGATTAACATCATTCTTGATTCTATCCCTTAGAGTGTTTCGACACACCCACCTTAACATGCTCATTTTTGTAACCTCCATCTTTTTATTGTGCTCCTTAGAAGCCCAACATTTTGTACCATAGCCTTAACATCCCCTATCTCAAATATGAGCTAAAAATATTTTGAAAATTGAGTGGGAAAACCCTTTTTAATGACGGTAGATATGACCATTCACTTCAGAGATAACCCTAGCAGTCAATAAGAAAAAATCAAAAAAAAAAAAAGAAAAAGGAAACTCCTAAATGTTTGATTAGAATATTAGATAGATATTAAGACATAAGGAAAGAAAAAATTTGTACAGGCAGTTTAATAAATCTAGCGGCCCAGTTTGGTGTGGTTTTCTGCAATCAACTTGTAAATGACTGAGGTTCTGTCTTAAAGGCCAATACGGATAAACTAGAATTACATTTACGAAACAGAAGCCCATTATCTTCACCTTATATTTAAGGCTCTAAATTCTGTTTACTAATTAAAACAAACTTATACTGATTCATTGTTGTATATGTTACATGTGAAAGTACAACACCTGATAAAACCAAAGTCATTCAGCTAAGCAGGAATTACACAAACAAAAAAATTAAAGAGAACAATGAATACAGCATTCCAAAGAAAGAAACATAGGAAATATTAGCAGCGAAAAATACCAGATATTTCAAGGGACGAAGTGAAAACCCCTTGGTATTTGTCAAATGATCCATAAGGCGTCCAGGTGTTCCTACCTATAGAAAAGTAATAATAAAGGATAAAGAAGACATAACAGCAAGAAAAACTAACCCAGGACAGTATCACATTTAAGGATGCTTCTAAACACCTCTACATAATTTTTAAATGCACAGACACACACACTTATATACTTGTATATACTTGTATAACTTCCACATAAGTTCTACATGCAATATGCACAGGTATACTCCACTAGTTACTGGTAATGTAGCACCTATAACATTAGATTCATAAGAAAGGAAAGTTTCATTTATACAATAATTTATTCAAAATCCTTAGAACCACTCAAATCAAGTATTACAATAAACAAATAAATAAACAAAAGTGAATGATCACGTACTACAATGTGAGGCCGTCTTGCAAGAGCAATCTGTTGCTGGTTCATGTCCACTCCCCCAACAAGCTATAAAAGATATAACACAGTCAGCAATCATGGTACTTGCTTTATAAAAATTTAAAAATAAAAATATCATATAACTCACTAAGAAAAAGGCAACTACTTTCAGTCATTCATCTAATATTAAAATGTGAAAAACAAATATAGCTCCGAGAAGTAGAGCAGTATTGCACACAAAGGCATGAAAGCAATCAGCTCATTAAAAAAACTTACCACTGCTGTTCTTAATCCAATGCTAGCTCCTAACGCTTCAAATTGTTCGGCAATTTGGATTGCAAGCTCCCTAGTGTAACAAAACAGCCAAAAATAAGCAAAAGGATAATTCTAGAGCCATCATAAGCTCATCCAATGGAAATGCATTACTGAGCGAGAACAAACTAGGGCCAAAATTCCCGGTGTTAGATATCCTAACAGAAAACAAACATAGCCTTTGTCATAAACACATACTAGTAAAAATGAAACATATAGAAACAATAACTACTGCAATGACTCCTCAAGGCTTCCTTAGATAGTGGAGTATATACTGGATCAAGTTTACGTAGTCTTATGACAGAAGATGTAAGTTACTCAAATTGACAGTAACGACATATACTATCAAACATGAACGTGCAATTTTGCAGAAACGACATAACGAAACAGTTGGTAATAAGACAAACTAAAGGGAACTCAACAATTAAACACTCAAGCATTAAACCAAAAATCGACAACTCCAATAGCCAAAAGCTCACCGAGTGGGCAAAAGCACGCAACCGAAGAATGGCTGAGGTGATTTGGCTTCCAGTAAAGCCTGAATTATTGGCAATGCAAAAGCCCCAGTTTTACCAGACCCAGTTTGAGCAAGTCCAATTATATCCTTGCCTATTCGAAAATCAACAATTGTAAATCAACAAAAATTATAAGAATTAAACAGATACTTTAATTAAATTAACAGAAACTCAAACAATTAATCAATTAACAGAAACTCAAACAATTAATCAATTAACAGAAGCTCAAACAATTAATAGGATAATTATGATAAATTAACAGAATTCAAACAATTAATCATATAATTATGATAAATTAACAGGAATTCAAAACAAGTAAAAAAAACCTGCAAGAGCATGAGGAATGGAATCAGCTTGAATTTTAGTAGGAGCAGTCCATCCTAATTTGTCACAAGCTTCAACTAAAAGATCGCAAATATTTAGGTCTTTGAATGATTTCACTTCTTCTCGGTTATCTTCCTCCATTTTTGTTAATGGCAAACTGCAAACAGAAGAGAATTCGCAACAGCAAATAATTGACAATTATTAGGGAAGAAAACGCCCTTATTCAAAATCCAGTAAAATAGGGAGTAAATGAATTCAGCACCAAAATAAAAATTCAATCTATGATATGAAATAGGCTAAATGTTAAACAACGCTCCACTCAAATCTCATCACCCTGATGCAAGTCAGATTAAGCAGAAACCTGTAATTAATCTGCTCCTCAATATTACAAGTGTAAGAATTGGATCATTACAGGGTCATGGAAGGCGAAGGCCATGACCAAGAGAAACACAAAAAAGCACGCAATCAGCAACGCTGAGTACATACAAGCTACGAATATAATAAAAAGCCTTAGCATGATACTAACAAGCATTTCATACATTCACAATATAATCATCGACTCGAACACCTGACTCAATTATTACTTATTACGAAGTTTTCTCTAGATAGCATTGATCACTTCATTAATTTGATTTGGATTAAGCAATAGACCAGGTTGTCCCCCCGTGCTCTATTCCAGAACATTAATAAAGAAAACCCTATGCCTCCTTTCGGAAGACATTAATAAACATCCAATGGCAGACGGGCGCGACTCTGTGGCCATAGCTAGTATGAGATCTCATCTAACTCATTATAATTTTAAAAGAATTTAAAACAAGAGACTCGTAGATCAGACGGCCTCTGAAAAGTGTACGACTAATACCCCGTGAACCCCAAACCCCTGTTTGTCATTACTCTAGATGTGCACGAATCCAGAGTTTTATTGCTCATCCTTCTTGCACTTTACGTGATTTACCAGTTTAAACTTGGTGTTGACTCAATTGCAAAACAACACAACCAGCCATACATCAATCATTCAAATCATTCAAGTTTCTTGTTAAATTCTTAATTTATTAGTGACAAGTAACATTTATTATTGAATCCTTTAACTATCTCGGTGTATAAACACCTCAAGTGCATAAGACACCTCATATCCACATGTCTGATTAGACTTTAACTCTTTCTTTACTCATTCCAATTCAATACAATTTGATAAGTAGTTAAAACAATTCATTCCATATATATATACTTGTAGCTTTGTTTCTAAGCTCTCTTTGCAAAATATTGCATAAATAATGCTCAATAGGAAACATCAATGCAATTTCTCATACATGAATTAAAGCAATCATTACATTTATCAACAATCAACTTATTACCAAACAATTTCAACCAATCCACAAGTCTCCTAACATGATTCTAGGTCTTTTCCAAGTCCTTAAACATGCTTCTAAAGTCAAGGTTCTTCGTATACTTGTACGTACCTTGAGTACACAAATTGATTGGCCACTTTAAGACTAGAAGTCACCCTCTACGAAGTCCTCTCCTAGACAGAACAACAATAGCTCAATTAATACCCAAGCAACATATATTACAGCAATACTAAACTATTTTAAAATCTTTTAAATTATTGAAATAATGTTCTTAAATTATTCCTAATAGCCAAAGTTAATAATTTAGTACTTGAACTATGAGTTTATATGCTAAAATCATAAAAATATGGCTTATAGCAAAAATTTCAGCAACTTTAAAGTGATGTTATAAATCTGAAAATTTGTTTTAAGCATGTAAAACAATCTCGCAAACATTTTCACTTGAAACAATCATTATATAGTACGTTAGTATGTTGAGAACTTGAAAATCCATTGTAAAACCATGATTTAAAGCTATTTAAACTAAGATTAAAATCTGAAAATTTAGTTTAATAGTAAAGTGTATGAATACAACAATCTAAACTTGAAATATATAATTATAATTTAATTAGTTTCATAAAAACTCAATTAAACCTTCGATAAAAATAAAAAACTGCACGAAAACCATACTTAGAAGCTGAATTGAGAGGGCGGTGCTCAGTTTTGATTAGAACATCATTTACACACGAAAAACACTATTTTTTTGCGAAAATCAGACGAGTTACAGTCAAAATGCGATTAAAACGTGATTAAGAAATTTTACGAACGGAAATTCAGAAATTAGTTACGAAAAAATATGAAGCTGTTGAATTAAACATCATCATATTCGTAGTAAAATCACAACAAAATCATGCTTAAATTGAATAACTTTAGCAACACGTTATTAAACCCTAAAATCATGAAAATAAACATTTAAACTTAACTAAATAAATCTGAAAATCAATTTCATAATTTAAACATCATAAAACTCATAAATTTACAACCTTTCCCAAATCTATTTACATGATTAAATCATAATAACAACAATTTAAATTCAAGATTAAAATAAAGATTAAAACTTTAACAATAAAACAATACAAGAGAGAAGGACAATGGACCGGTGGTCCGGTGGCTGGGCAACGGTGGCAGCAGGTGGAAACTCCGGCTGAGGCAGGCGGCAGTGGGGCAGCAGCAGCAACGAAGGCAGCAGAATTTTTAATTTTTTTTAATTTTTTTTTTTTGTGTGAATGTCGTGAATGTAGAGAGGAAGCGAGGAAAAAAAAAACACTGAAATCAATTTATGTGAGGGTTTTGGGAGGGGAAATAAGAAGTTTACTTAATTAAAATGGGAATATGGGCTTAAGGGTTTGTTTTTTTTTTTTTTTTTTTTGGAGTTAGAATGGTAGTCATGGCCCAAAGTGAGTAAAATGCTATTGAAATATAAGTTATCGTTTTTATGCTTGTCAAATCTTTTAAAAAAAAAGAAAATATTTATGCAAGTATAAAATTATTATAAAATATTTGTATTCATAAAAATATATAATTATTATTTACTTAAGAAAAATATGGGGGATTATAGGTTAGGACCCGTCGGGTCCAGACCCAGAACTGGTCCCACCGGTTCCGGGACCAGGTCCAAAATTTCGGATCCGGTTGTAACCGGTTCCGGTTCCAAATTCTAAAATTTTGTACCTGGTACCCGGTAATATATGATATAGTATGTAGATTGTTTGTGTTTTAAAGATTTTAAAGAGTTACAGCCCATTTTAATTTCCAAGCCCAATTGCTTATAAAACTCTCAACCCACTATCAAACAAAACCCTACTCTAACCGGTTACCCAACATATATTGTACAAAATATATTTTAAAAAACAAAAATATGCTAATAAAAAAAAATATTAATATTAATATAATTAAAATAGCTTAATGTATATAAAAATATAAGTATTAAACGCCAAAAGTAAAAATAAACCAAAAAAGTATTATAATTTGGATTATATTTCAACACTTATATATATAAGTGGGTACCCGGAATCGGAACCGGTACCCGGTGGAACCAATTCCAATTCCTAAATTTTAGGACCCGGTTGTACTGGTTCCAATTCCGGTTCCAAATTTTAGGACCCGGTCCCAACCAATTTCGGGTCCGGATCCTAAAATTTTGACCGGGTACCCGGTTTGCTCACCCATAATCTTGCTACAAGATGTCGTAATTCTTGTCCTTCTAATATGAGAAGAAATAGAAGCATTAAAAACTCTCACATAGAATGTTAATATCATCATAAATTAATCAAATTGGCGAGCAACCATTGAGCCGTTCTTTGGATTTTTTTCCAAAGTAAGTTTTATTACAAACGTTGTCTCAGACGGCGTTTTTTCATTACTTTTTTAAAAAAAATCGTAATTTTTTATTAAAAAAAAATAATAAACATATTCTACTATTGCAATTTAGCTTCTTACGAGTCGTTTAAAATTGATGATTCAAAGTTAGTTCCTATAGTTTATGAACATTACTAATAAAATCAGTAGGTCAGTGGAGTAAATCAGAGGGCATGTTTACCCACTTAGTATTAGTACTTCCTCTGTTTATGGCATTATTATTATACATGAATTAGGTAAGTAGTGTGGGGAGTTTTACTTAGTCTAAGTAATGTGGGGAGTTTTACTTAGTCTAAGTCTTGTTTTGTTTACATTCATTGCTACTATTTAGAGGGTAGTTAGGTGAGTAGTGGTTTCCTAATATTTAGCTTTGTTTGTTTTATCATTAGCTTATTTAAAGGAACATATGTATTTCATTTTTATCAAGAAATTAATATCAACTCCCTTTTTAGAATGCCTTGAGCCAAGTCTATGAGGAAGATGCTATAGTCCAACATGTCTTCTTTTTAAGACATTTTGTAATAAAGCACAGCATGCTCTGTGTTATGTTCTGATTCTGAAATTATCGTTCTCTGTCATTAGCTTTTTCTTGTTTTCTTCTAAATGTAATTGGGTCGCAAGCTCCTATGATGAATTCTTCTAGCTGCGTCCTTGACTCCCTTTTTTGTTTTGTGAAATCCATATTATTTTCTTGCCATTATTCGTATGTAATACCTTCTCCAATTTTCTGTAGGAACATATTAGATGCACTTAGCGGAATTTCAAGAAACAGTTTCTTAGCACCTAAAACAGGATCTCATGCATATAATAATATGAATCATAAGATTAAAATATTATACCTTTGATGCGTAATTTTCACAAGGCAAGAGGGTAGTTCTTCCGGTTAATTAGAGATCTTTAGAACGTCAATTGCCGTTCCTCTAATGTTGGTCCACGAGTAATGAATGAATCTCCACGTATGCTAGTACGAAATAAGGAACAATTCCTTATTGCTTTTGTTGGTGATGTGAATCGAGTCCCCTTCCTTATAACTATTATTTTTCTTTATTTAGGTACTCTCTTGGTTTTACCTTACTCTTAAAGTAGGGGTTTTACAAGTGAGTTTTTAATAATGTTTTTATTATTTTCTTAGTAGTAGTTATGGGGCCTTGGGCTTCCAAAGTTGTGTTAATTAATTAGTGGGCTCTCTTGGTTCATTAATTAATTATTAGGGCTTTTTATTTAGTTTGCTTGCAGGGCAAGTAGGATAGATTTATTTTTCCTATATATACTAGTTGTATGTCAATTATTTTAGGAGGATGTTTTATGAATTATAATTTGAGATTATTGAGCTTTTGCTTGAAGAGAACTTTGTTAAGGTTCAAACTAGTTGTTAACTAGGGTTTTGGGATCGTTACTCCTAAAATCAAACTTAGAAGTCGTTGCCTTCTAAGACTATCTTTCAAATTTCCACCATTAAAATCACTCAAATCCTTCCATCAAATATAAACCGTCAAAATACACATCAAATTGGTATCAAGAGCTTAGGTTTGTGAGCCCTCACGACTTACACGATCTTGGTAATTAGAACAATTTTTGGTTGCTTTTCAAGTATTACGGGTGATTTGCAATTAGATTACGGTAGTGTACTTTGTCTTCGAATCTGGAAGTAAGCATTACGTAGTACTAGAGGTACGTAATTCTAGAGTTTTAGTTGGTGAATTTGTCTCTTAGTGCATATTAATTTCTTGATTTACTTGCTGCAAATCATCAAGTTGGTGGAGATAGTGCAACTAATACTTTTGTGCATTCATATTTCGGTACACAGATACACACAAATAAATTTTAGGTATTGATGAATTATTTAAAAAAAAAAAAAGAATCCCCTGCTAATACAAAATTAGAGTGTTGCGCGAGAGTTGTTATTCCTTGTCCAAATTATTATAAAGGTTTTGTTAGACTAATTTGAGGTTTTTGTCTTAAAATACGGAGGAATAATTTGCTGAAAATTATTTCGACATCATGAGTACTTTAACAAAGGAAGATCTTGATATTATGCTTGTTGATATGATGAGAAATTTTAATGCGAGTCTTGAACGAATGAATGAGAAAATTGAGAAGAGTACACAAGAAATTGCTCAAACCAATCAAAGGGTTGAAACTTTGTCTACTCAAGTGATTGGGGAAGGAAGAATAATCAACAACGAACAACCTAGGGGAATCATGAGAAATTTTCCAATTGACAATGATCGAGATTTGAAGTTGTTGGAACTTCCGGAATTTACAGGTGATGGGGATGCCGAAGACTTTTTAGATTGGGTTCGTCAGATGGAAAAGGTCTTTGATTATAAAGGTTTTGATGAGCAAAAAGCCTACAAGGTTGCAAACCTAAAACTGACGAGATATGCTTCTCTATGGTTTGAGAATTTACGTGCCAAGAGATTGAGAGAAGATGAGCCACGAATTAATACTTGGAACGAGTTGAAGAGACAATTAAGGAAACGGTTCCTACCACGGGAATTTATCCAAGATCAATTCTTGAAGTTGAATCATCTTGAACAAAAGAATCTTAGTGTCGCTGAATACACTAAAGAGTTTGAGAAATTGTGCATGCTTTGTGATTTGCAGGAAAAAGAGGAGATGAAGATTGGACGATACATAAAAGGGTTAACACCTTCGATTTCTCACAAGGTGGAAACATCAAATTATGTGTTCTTTGATGATGTCTTAAGGTTGGCAGAGAGATTTGAGAAACAGGAGAAAGAAAAGAAAATTTCTTATTTCAAGGAGAGGAAGTCATTCTTTAATGGTGAGGGTTCGAATATCAACTCTAACAATTCAAACAATGAAGGGAAGATGATTGTTGTTACTCCCGAACAAGCTGCATTGGCGAAAAAAGTTTGTTTCAAGTGTCAAGGCATGGGACACATTGCTAGAGATTGTGGTAACAAAGTGACGGTATCCAAGAAGGAACATAGAATGTTGTTGGCTTATCTTGACCATGAAGAGAAAGAGAAGGAGAGTACATGTTTGCTCAATACAGAGGAAGAGTTTGATTTTGAAGAGTTTGAGGGTCAAGAAAAGATTACTCCTGAACCTGAACATCACCATATCGGTATCTTAAGGAGAGTTTTGCATGCTAATTTTGTTCCTCCTACTACACATGAGCAAAGGGAAAATTTGTTCCATACTATATGCAAAGTGGGTGATAGGAGTTGCTCGTTGATTATAGATACGGGATCGTGCACCAATGTTGCATCTACTAAGTTGGTTGACACTATGAATCTTTCTACTAGGGACCATCCTACTCCTTACAAGCTTAATTGGTTACATGATGGAGATGGACTACAAGTTAAAAGGCAAGCTTTGGTGAACTTTTCCATGGGTTCATATTCTGATAGTGTATGGTGTGATATTTTACCTATGACTGCTTGTTCTATACTCTTGGGTCGTCCTTGGCAATATGATCGAGGGGTGTTATTTAATGGTGTTACAAATGTTTATTCAGTGAAGGTTGGGGATAAGAGAGTCCAATTACATCCTTTACCCCCTAAGGCGCCACCTATTCAAGCTCCTGCTAGAGAGTTGTTGATTATGCCTAAACTTAACAAAAAGGAAAGAAGGGCTAATATGTTGTCATTGAGAAACCAACACCCTTTTGAGATTGGTGAGTATGTTTTCTTATCTTTAAATGCTCAAAAAATCTTTAATAATTCTAGAGGTAAGAATGAACCATTAGAGGAAGGACCTTTCAAGATTGTGCATAGGGAGAATTATGATACTTTTCAAGTACTTCTTGGAGCGGGAATTTGCGCTACTATGAGGGCTAGTGACTTGGTACCTTGTCTTCCGAACGAAACTTGAGGGCAAGTTGTTTTTTAAGAGGGAGGGAATGATGTGAATCGAGTCCCCTTCCTTATAACTATTATTTTTCTTTATTTA